ATCAGTAATTGTCTTTGACACATACATTTATATCAATAAATGTATTCAAAAGTTAAAAGAAAAAAAAAAGGGTTTAATTAAACTTTTGAAAATTTACTAAAATTGAAAATAATCGAAAAAAAAATTTTATCGTTAAAAATATGTTTGAAACTTTATTAAAAGTTTATTTTTTCAAATTTGATTTAGTTAGTATTTTAAAATTGTATTTTTACAGCATTACACTAATTTAAGTAGAGGGTAAGGTAAAGTTAAAAAAAAATTAAACTATTTTAGTCTTTTTATGATGTAGATACATTAATAATATATTAAATTATATTTTTTATAATTGGTAAAGTAGGTACAATCGTAATTGTTGCATAAACATAAACTTTTAATTAAAATCATTAATACTTATTCGTAATTAACTTATTAAAAAAATTTTTTTTCAGTTTGTGAAATTTAAAGTTTGACTTTTTTTTTTATTGAATTTTTATTTAATATTATTATTATTTTCTTATTGTATAACAAAATATCTATAAATCTGTCTACAAATCTTGTAGTATAATTCTTATTGTGCAGTTGAAAACTTTAAAAAAATTTTTTTAAAATTAGTCGAGAATAAAATTAATAATTATATTAATATTTTCAAAGTGTTTTCCGACAGCAACCAAGGATTCGTTCCGTCGTCGAAATGCATCGGACACTGATCTCCTGAAAAAAGTAACGGAAAAACGTGAAGGTGGGGGGAGGGGAAATTCGTACACGTGTGCGTCAACGTTTTAATTAATTTCCCTTACTTTCTCTTTCGTATTCTTGCATTTCGATGGCAACGGCAGCACCCTCGGTGTAATTCCATGACGTCACATCCTGTTTAAGATGGCAATAAGCCCCGATAGATTCCGACATTAAAACTCTATTTAAATCCGCTCTTTGATAGACCCAACATCTGTACTTGCTGAAAGCATCCAATTCGTCGTAGGTTATCAAATAAGATTTTAAATTTTCTTTCCAAAATCCGATGCATTTTAATTTGTAATCGGGATCACCTGATTAAAAAATAAATAATAAAAGTTTAGCGTGATGCTGGGAGGGGGGAGGAGGGCGGGCGGGCGGGGAAGTACTTTGTAAAAAATTAATTTATTAACTGTAAATATCGACGGGAGCTCCCAAATGATCGACGCTCAAACAAAATGTTTCATCTATGGCCTTTTCTTTTTGATCCGTATCGCAAACTGATAAATCCGAT